CAGGAGTCACAACAACACCATAGCCTGTTTAAGACTGGCGAGGGGCATGTACGGACACACCAACAAGCCCTTCCTTCGCCCCACAACAGCCACATGCAGCTGCAACCACGACAGGAGCAGCATGTTCTTCTCGACCAACAACATCTCCTCATGTAGCAGTGCCAACATCAGCAACAACAGACCCTCTAGCAACAAAACAAACTTTCCAGCACACCATGCAAAGCCAACAGCACATACAACAACAAAAACTGCAAGAACTGCAAGAACAACAAAAGGTGCACATGCACATGCTGCAGCAAATGCTTCGGCAAACGCATCAACACAATCAACAACAACGAATGCAACACAGATATGTAGAAAAACAACTCCGCCTCCTGCTGCAAGCGCGGCTGGAACAACATCAGAGGCAACATCAACACGAGTTGTTGATGTTGCAACAACGAAAGGCCTACAATGACAAAAATCAATAGAAGCCTATGGCACAAGACTGACAATGTCGTCAGGTAGACACCCTGAAACAAATGGACAAATTGACCAAATGAATAGATTGTGCCAACAACTTTGTGAATGCATGCTAGGCCAAATCAAATTGATTGGGATGATAACTTATCCAAAATAGCAAGTGCATACAACAATAGTGTTCATACCGTTACCGGAAGAACACCTAACACACTTCACAAACGTTGGAAGCCGAGACGTCTCATTGATGCCTTAACTAGGGAACATGTCTAACACCGACCCCCAGGAACAAGAGAATTTATAATTCTATATGAACAGAGCATAGCTAGAGTAAATAAGAATATCCAGAAAGCTCAAGTTCATATGATCGAACAAGCAAACAAGCATCATCGACCATCTCGGTTCAAAGAAGGGGACTCGGTTTGGGTAAAGTGTAAGAATTCTGCCTTGAAGAGAATGTGTCTCAAAAATTGTTACCAGTCTATTATGGACCCTTGGAAGTTCTCAAGATGATAGGGAACGTCGACGGGCCGTCATATCGCATTGATGTACCCCCTCACCTGAAAACATATTATGTCTTTCATGCTTCCAAATTGCTGCGATATGTCGAAGGCCACGAGTATCCCAACCGGCCATCCATGTTTCCTCCCTCTATGAATGGAGGTCACGAAGTTGAACGAATATTGGAACATAGATACTTTTCCACATGTGGCAAGGGAAGACTGTGACGAACTAGCTTCTGTAACGCGCGGCTTTCGGCGCGAAGTGCTAAGCGGGGTCCCACGTCGATTGGACGGGTTGATGGAAAATTGCATGTGTGTCCTTGCCTTTTTGTTGTTTCTTCGTTCTCGCACGAGCCCCTGATGACAGTTGGGGACAATTCGGTAATACCAGGGGAAAAGGGGACAAAACTTGGTCGGATGCGGAGTGCGCGTCGAGTGCGTGATTAATAAACATTGTTGGACTCTTGGGCGCACAGACATCGCGCGGGAATTTCGGTGTCTCTTTTTGAATTTCTTTCTTGAATTTTCTTTTCGAATCTTGGTCGGAGCCATACGGTCTTCAGAATTTTGATTTGCTTTTCGAACCTTTTCGGCAGGCTAGCTAGGAATTTAGGAATTTTGGAATTTCTGTTTTTCTGGGGCGCTGCTCTGCATGTTCGTGCACTCTTTCTTGCTGCTGCGCCGGAACCTTGATTGATTGGCGCCTCAATCCCTTTTTTGCAACTGTAATTTTTGGCGCATACTTTTGTAAATGTATTTTTTTGTTTCTTGCTTCTTCTTTTTTCCGCCTCGTTTCTTCCTCCCCCCCCCCCCTGCCTACATTGGGTAGCCACGTTTGCATGTTCGGATCGATGCGTGGAGTGGGTACGTCCCCCACGCCGCGGCCCGACCATGCAAACGAAGGCACTCCCTCTCCCCCATCTATCTACGTCCTTGTAATTCCGTGTTCTTCGTGCATGCATCCACGCTATAAATTTTGGCTGCGCGATAAGTTTTGGTGTCAATCACGGGCAATTCGCCCTTGTCTTTGCGGCCATATGCTCGTCCTGTTGTCCGATTTGGTTTTGTTCTTCTTTTCATCGATGATTTTTCCTTTTTTTTTTCCTTCCCCGGAATCCTCTTTTGCAAATAACGTATGGATGGTTCGCGCACCCTCGCCTTTCGTTTTTGATCATTTCCTTCGAACCCTCGTACAGGATTAGTGAAAATGGGGATTGCATGCTGGCGTGATCAATAGAGTGTGTTGGCTTGTTGTATCTTACGGATAGTCTGGAGCGCACCATCCGACGTGCCATAGGGACCCATGCAAGTCCGATCCGGATGGAGCGCGGCTTACACGTGCCCCTACCATCGCCAATCACGTTTTAACTAGTGCGCGTAGCCAGCCCTTCACTAAAGAAGGAGTCGATGTCAATCGGGATCGGGTTACCCATCGCGCGTAAGTGCGTGTAAGTGTGACTCGTTCACATCTCTCTTACGCACTTACGAGCGGTGATCTCCCCGATTAACTTATCCCCCCCCCAAGACGTGAGTGATGAAAGAATGACGAGCTCGCGGAGTTCCGACGTATCTTGGAATTCCAAGGATTACGAGTCGTATTTCGGGCACCGAGAAATCTGGGAAGAAGAACAACTCTGGTTACGGGAAAATTTGAGGAACCCGGTATTCCCCTGCCTCACAGAAAACGATAGATTCTGCGCTAGGGAATTCCATCTCGCCGTACGAAGCGACCCGCGGGGACCCGACTACCCAAACACGTACAACACGCAATATTTCATAACTCCCGGCTTCGTCCTTGTTGCCACTAGTTTCCCGCCATACCACCTCCTCCTCCCCTATCATCAGCTTACAGTAGTACCGTGGAATTCCATAGCACCTTATTGGCCCTCCACCCCTGCCGAAGCTGCAGGCGGCGTGCGCATACCCGAACCCCCGAAGCCTCGGCACCTAGGCTTAGTTCCCACCAACCCACGCCACGTGGCGGGCTCCGCAGGTGTGAGCCCCAAAGACCGCCCCGACAGGCTCCCCAGAACTGGCGATCAACCGGAGATCTCAGTTCCGACCTGGGACTCCAACCCCATTTTCCAAAAATCCTTGGCACACCCCTTTTGCACTTCCAGGCCCACACCCTACTCCGATCAGGAAGTCGCGTCGGGCGTGAGGTTGGTATCGGAGCCCAACACGTGGCTAAGCGATAAGGGTCTGTAGACTCAATACTGGCTAAGGCGAGGCGATTTGGCTCCACGTAGGCACCCTCCAGCTGGTAATACAAGTCGACGTAGTCCTGTAGCTACACGAAGCCGAACCTCCGCTACAAGGCGAGCAGGCGCCATGGCTGCGGCCGCTGCAGCAGTCGCTGCGGCGACCGTCCCCAATCAACCACCTAACCCGCCTGCACGAACCCCTGCGGCTCCACCAGATCTTTATTTATTTGACCCAACACATCATCTCGCCGGAGCATGGTTGGCCACGCTTCAAGCTCAGCGGTATACGAACGATGAAGCTCAGATTAACATCCCCGCGTGGATGGGGGGAGACGCCCATCATTGGTATAACACTTATGTATGGGTGGATCTTCCCACATTCGAGCGGGATTTCATGAACCACTTCGATTATGTTCACCCCGAACAAGCACTCTATATGATCAAGGATCGAGTCCAGAAACCACTCGAATCCATTACCGAGTATCGGAACAGATTTCATTGAATGTTTGTAAAGATTGAGCGAGGCGAGCAGGTAGGCCGGGACCTGTTCATTGATGGACTACGTAACAGAACGATTCGGGGGAAGCTGCCTAAAAACTTCTCTCCCATTAATCACACGCTGCAACAAATTATGGACGCTGCCGAAGAGATTGAGCGGAAATTCGCAGCTAGCTTCTTAGAAAATGAGGATTACGGTAGAGAAGGAGACTCGTCCGAACTTGTGAAAGCAAGGGCGGAACTGGCTGCACTACAAAACAAATTCGAAAACATGGGATTCGCAGTCGGACCCGTTACGTATGTAGAGCAGGTAACACCGAGGACCACACCCCATGGAGCGACTGTAGATAGGCAGATCCCGGTAATGGCGTCCCCAACCGTAACTCGGCCACCTCCACCGCCACCCACCATCGAGTCACCCGCAAAAACGAATGAGTCTACTGCTATCTTGGAGCTAACTAAAACATTGGTTAGTTTAATCCAAGAAAGCAAGAAGGAACAGCGAGAACACAACGCCCGATTAGAAGCTATGATGCGGAATATGCGACCCATTGCGGTGCGAGCACCAATGCAGGGAGGCATGGCTACTCTACAAGTGGCAGTGGGGCCAGCCGGGACAGCGACAAACACCTGTTTTACATGTCATCAACCGGGATACTTGGCCCGAGATTGCCCCCATCGTGCCATGCAGCCCCGAGCCGGGATCGCGCCTGCTGCAGCAGCTCCCATAGCTAACGGCCCAGGACGTGTAGGAGCCGTGATGGATGATCAGGGGGGAAGTACGGGAATGATGATTTCCAGTGAGGAAGCAGCTGAGCTTATCCCGCTGGAGCAGTACGTATCACTAGGATACCCGGGCCTGGGAATGATTGGGACAGTTTGACCGGAACTCGAGTCCGGGGATGTCTCAGAATGGCGGCCTCCATTGAGCGAAATGGAGACGGGAGGCCCTACCTTTGTTACAGGAGAAATCGATGTCCTTGAGGTCACTCGAGCACTGGATCATCGAATCCCTCTCCCAATCGGCCACCTACTCTCCATCTCGGAACAGGCGAACGAACGCATGATGCAGCATTGCAAAGCGAACCGGAAGCGATTCGCTCTTGCCCGCGCAAAAGAACAGAAGGCGAAGGCACCGCCTTCGGAGGAAAAGGCGGACGTCGCCCCTGATCCCATCCGAGTCGGATTAATACAGAAAGATGACCACTTTTTTCGGATCAATTTGATTCCGTGGAAGTCAGCCGAATGTGATATTGAAGTCTGGGGAATGCGGTATAGTGCGATCATAGATTTGGGAGCGACTGTCCTAGCGATATCACTCCGAGTAGTCGAGAGAGCGGGTAGGAAGAATGATTTGATTATGCTAACCGAGAAGGACCAGCTCATATCGGTTGACGAAGAAAAGATCAAGACAGTATGACGTATGACGAATGTCGCGTTCCGATTGGGAAAAGTGCATGCTTTAGGAGATGTTGTGGTGCTGGACGTGAATACGTATGACGTTCTGTTCGGGCTTCCTGCATTAGTGGCACTGCGTGCTAATTTGGACTTCGAACGCCGATCCGTCATTCTCCGGAATACCGGGGGAAAGCCGTATGTAATACCCATGAGACTAACTCTTCGAACGATGGTTAAGGTAGTACCCCGAATTTCTCCGGAAACAATGGGAGCGCTCCGCATGGTCTCTTGGAATGCACTTGTGGATGGAGGCCAATCATCGAACGACGCGTGGAATGACGACGATGACGACCCAGTCGTTACGCGGTTATTACGGCAGCAGATTCACTACCTGCCGCCTCGCACTATTGCGCACACCATGCATCTAACCACACAAAATGCTCATATGTTGATCATGGGAGAACCCCTCGTACAGATTTCGAGGCTGGTTGATTCCTTGGAACCCCCTCAGACCCTGTACGAAGGCGTATCTCCCCTCCTCCTTCGATATAGTGACAAGCGTTCCTTTTGTGATCTCACTGACTTACCTCGATCCCTGCTTCAACCCGCCAAAGAAGTTCAGTTGTTGCATTTGGGAGTCAAAGCAGGTTCTTTGGAACCCCCTCAGCACATCGAGGCAAGATCCGATGAATTCGGGATCAAAATCTCGCCCAAAAACGTGCCCTGGCGAGACATCTACGACGGGATAACCCCCGAAGGTCATACAACGATCAGGGAGGAGGAAACACAGATGGTGGCCACTGTGTTTTCTTGGAGATCGGATCACTCTTTTATATCTGCACCGCCCGACACTACTCGACGTATACACACGAAGCAGGTTAACGTTCGGATTTTGGATCAGATGTATGAATTGCATGTGCCCCAGTATGTACCTGATGAGATCCATCGGTTGATCGCTGATAATTTAATAGAATATCAAGGGGCGATTAGCGTGTCCGATGCCGATATTGGATTATCCGTGGTCGTTCAGCATGAGATTCAGACCGGGAATCATTCCCCGATCCACTGCAAGCCGTACCGATACTCGTTGACAGAGCGCAAGACGGCCCTGTAGCGAATCAGGGAATTTGAGGCAAACGGATGGATTGAGCCTGCCACCGGTCCCTGGTCGTTCCCAGTTGTGTTGGTTCCTAAAAAGAACGGGTCAGTCCGCATCTGCATCGATTATCGAAAGTTAAATAATATCACGATTAAAGATGTGTATCCCCTTCCCCGGATTGATGATCTACTTGATGCGATCGGGTGTGCTAACTACTTCAGCAAGTTCGACATTCGGCATGGGTTTCATCATATCTTGGTGAAAGAAGAAGATCGTCCCAAGACCGCCTTCGTTTTGTTTGAAGGCACGTGGCAGTGGGTTTGGTGCCCGATGAGAATCTGCAATGCGCCTGCCACATTTCAGCGGGCGATGAACGTGACTTTTCTAAATTTCGTCAATAAGACGCGGCTGACTCAGGGGATGATTAACTTTTGTGTCACTGTGTACATGGATGACATTCTGGTGTACTCGGACACGTTTCACGGACACATGCAGCACATCGAGTAGACGTTGGGTGCGTTGAGAGACGCATGTTTCAAGATTGCGCTGGAGAAGAGCGAGTTTTTCCTCCCGGAAATCTCGTTCTTGGGGTGTGTGGTGACATCTGGAGGCCTGCGGCTGGACTCTCGAAAAGTCGCGGCGGTCAAAGAGGCCCCGGTTCCGACCTCGCTGACGCAGGTTCGAGCCTTTTTGGGCATGGCCTCGTATTACCGCCGGTTCATCAAGGGGTTCGCGGCTGTAGCAAGGCCTCTGACAAACCTGCTGTGAAAAGAACAGCCCCTTCATTGGGATGACGAGTGCGACCAGGCCTTCGGGGCCCTGAAGGATGCTCTCGTCACAGCCCCGATTCTGATTCGGCCGGACTCCTTTCGGCAGTTTATTCTCATCACCGACTGGCAGCCGGAGGCTATTTCAGCCATCCTGGCGCAGAAGGGAAACGATGGGAAGGAGCATGTCATTGAGTACGCTTCTCGGACGGTGTCAGACGAGCGACGAAACGATTCCACGCCACAAGGAGAATGCTATGCGGTAGTGTGGGGTATCCAACACTTCCATCCGTATTTGTACGGTTAGAAGTTTCTGCTCGTCACCGACCATGAACCTCTGTTGGCTCTGAAAAAGCTAACCAACTACAGGGGCATGATCGGACGGTGGGCGGTATGGTTGCAAGAATATGAATTCGACATTGTTCATCGAAAAACGGAAAGACACGGCAACGCTGACGGACTGACACGTTTGCACCGACCCGGTAAAGTACCAAAAGCGGAGAGATCACACCGTGGAAGGACCCGAACATCAACAACGGTCCAAAGGAGAAGTTGCGGTTATTCCACGTGGCAAGAAGCCGGTGAAGGGCAATGGGTGACGGAGGTAATGTCCCGATTCCCTCTCTTTCTTCCCCATCCTCTTCTTTCGCCTCCCTTCCTAATAAATTTTGCTATTTCTGCGAGGCAATTTCTGGAGTCTATTCCGTCCACTTGTGTCCAAAAGGGACGGGATATGTTGAATGGGTAGATTGTCGGAAATGTGTCGCACGTGCTCACGGTGTGTGCATACAGTATCCGAGTAGTGATAAACCCTGGTTCTGTCCCTTATGTTGCACTGACAAGATTCCGACGGAAGCCCGATTCCTCGATGCCACGTCGGAAGGCCCCGACAAAATCCAGAAGTTTAGAAGAGCGGAAGTCTGGACAGATGTCGCCTTGATAGCCACGGTGGTAGGCAACTCCCTCGAAACCTTCTCCAAGGAGGATCGGAGGAGGGTCAATGAAAGAGCACGGGATTACCGATGGGTGGATGGACGGTTAGAGAAGCGTAAAACGGACGGCAGTGGAGCATGGTTAGTAGTTCCGCACCCGTTCATGCGGTACGACTGGGTACGAACCGCCCACGAGGAAACGACGACGCATTTTGCCGTGCGTATTACCGACGCTGCGATTGACAGAAATCAATGGTACTGGTCCAATATCCGAAACGACGTTAAATTCATCGTCCAACACTGCCGGGTCTGCGCTGCTAACAAGGCCCCAACCCAACCGCCTAGGTCGATAGTCCCAACTGTGGTCGAAAGGCCGTTTCAGAGGGTTAGTATGGATACTACTGATATAGTGGTGCCCCCTGGACCGAATAGTTGCGACTGTTCAATTCTGCTGGTTTTCGTCGATCACTTTTCTCAGTGGATCGAGGCCTACCCCTGCAACACACGACAAGCCGCGGAAATCGTGCGGTACGTCAACCATTTTCTGAGCATGCACCAGGACACAGAGGAGATCCTGACCGACAATGGGGTCAAATTTAGAGGAGAAGTCGAGAGGAACCTGGTCATACACGGCGTCTCCATACGGCACACGGCCCCGCACATGTCCCAGTCTAACGGATTAGTGGAAAACGCGAATAGGGTGATAAAAACGGCCTTGCGGCACGCCCCACGAATCGACGGGCCTGAGCCCCTTCCAGGTGCGGACCAATAGTGTCGCGTGTGTATCGATACCGAGCCTCCCAGAGGAATCAGGACTCAACCGACGCCCCTCAAGGGCCACCGCTCGGGACAAAGCCAAAAGGCACTTGGAACTCATGGAGCGTTCCCTACCTAGACTGGCCCGGAAGCGCCAACGGTTCACCGAATTGGCCCACGGCCGACATGTCCGGAGTTACGAGGCCCGGAACGGGAATGCGGGTCCCAGGACCCAGTATAAGTTAGGGGACATCGTGCAGGTAAGGAAATGTGCGCGCCAGGGTAAACTAGCGCCACGATTCTTCGGACAGTATCGGGTGATTGAACTCGGATCCAACGGCGTGGACACCGTGCGCCTCGCTCCCAAGATTTCCGGCAGTCGATCGGCTCGCCCGATCACACGCCACGTGTCCTATCTCCGTCTTCTTCCCTCTGTTCCGTCTCCTTCTCCATCAACCTCTTCCGACGACGACTCTATCTCCTATGCATCTCCTTCTCCTTCTCAATCTCTGTCGGATCCGCCGTCACCCTCGCCATCGCCATGAGCTTTATGGAGGAGAGAGCTCTAAGTGAAGAAGCGCTGGTAGCACGGGGGAGTTAGACACTGCGGCAGGTGCATCATCCTCGTCTTAGTCCGGACCTTCAGCGGGTTGCGCAATTCTTCTGCTCGAAGGGCGTCTACGCGGCAGCAGAGATCCACGTCGACGGGAGGGCTGACGCAATCATATTGGCCGAAGCTGTCGGGTTGCGGCAGCGAACATCTGTGGACGTCGGCCGGATAACGGTGGTGGTTAATTTCACTGGGGATCTCACGGTGATCCCCCCCATCCGACACACGAGAATCAAGGCGACGTTGCTTCTGTGGGAGCACAATCTTCAGAACGAGTGGACCCAGATCCTGGCGCACCAAGGGGACGTGATCGCACCAATCCGAGCGATCGAATACAACGGCCTTCGGCTGGATCGGCGTGACTCGCCGACGCAATTACCTCCTCTCATCCCCTTCCATCCCCGATGAGTTCCTTCCCGATCTCTACTTTCGAGCTTCCTTCTTCCTTCCCCACCTTTTGGCAGTCCGATCTTCATCCCCACCTCTCCTTTTGCATAGATCCTCTGGTTGTTCCCCTCATCGATCCCTCTCAGTGGGACGCGTGGCGCGGAGCCTTCATCGAACTCTCACTGTGTTTGGTGGAAGTACGGGTGACGTGGACGAGGGACGAGAACAATTATCCGCGGTCTGAGCGATTGGAGCTCCTTTTGATTCCGGAGTGGCGGATGGAAGTAGAAGGGGACCTTCTCGGTTTTCTATTCGGGGCAGCGCGTCCAGGCTGTTGGAGGCTTCTCACCCAGGAGCTTACTGTCCCAATTGCGCAGCTGGCCGACCATCTTGACGTTAGCATTGTCTCCCAGGTCGACCCGCGCCTGGTGCCCCACGTCACCTCGCGCACGCTGTCGCCATATCTTCAGTGGTCAGCTTGCGGGAGGGCTTCCCATTGAGAATTCCGCCTTCACGGTTGGATTATTTGGATCCTCGTGACATCGTGGATCCCGCTTTCTATAGACCGCCGTACGAGGACGAAGTGGAGGAGATAATCCACGAGGAGCTCGCGGAAGAAAGTTCGGAGGAAGAGGAGGAGAATCTGAACGAAGACGAAGGGGAGCCGGCACAACAACAAGAAGGAGACGAAGACGAGCTCCTGCAAACGAAGAGCGAAGAAGAAGCAGAAGAAGAAGACAGCGAGCAGGAGAGCGGTGATGACAACGACGAGGAGCAGGCCAACGAGGATCCCTAGCTAGAAATTGCGCCGGTTGCTGATCTTCTGATCAGCAACGATCCAACGCTCGACCCGGAGCCACCACAGCCAGACGACGGCCATGTGGCCCAGGTGGCTGGGCTGTCCGCTCGCCGGCCTCCTTCCCCACCGCGACGCCGGCGACGAAGCCGCTCCCCCTCCGCCTCCCTCTCCCTCGCAGCCCGTCCCCCACTTCGAGCACGTCGAGATGAGGCCGATCGGTCTTCATCTTCGGGCTCTCTCTCTCCGCCCCCATGACTTCCTCACCCTGCGCCAGCTCACCCGTCCTGCCGTCTTCCCCCACAACCCCTTCCCCCGCGACACTTTCCGTCATTACTTCTCCATCCGTCACTCTGTCACAGTCCATCCCCACTCATCCTCCCGGCGTGCTTCCCCCGAGTTCCCTCTCCATGTACTTCTCTTCAGCATTGGATGGCGTCGTATTAACGCCGTAGAGGTTTATTGCCTCATCACGGGGTTAATCCCCGCATGCGCCGATCACGATCGCTTTTGCGCGGCACTTCTTAGAACCTTCGCCACTCTTTATCCCGACTACCTCGCTTCTCTCCCCACTACTGGCCGCCGATTCCCCCGCTTCCATAGAATCGTCCATCATCGGAGCCTTCTGGAGACGGACGACGAGCTGGAACGCTTCTTCCCGCCTATCCCAACTCATCCCCCATCAACACCTCCGCCTGTCTTCCTTTCCATCTTCCCCACGAATGACGACAACCAGGATACGACGGCCGCGCAACATGACTTCCACACTCGTTCGCACGGTATGTGGGAGGAAAGAAGATCGGCCATCCACGGCCAATCAATCGAAGATGAGCAACACGTCAGCTAGCAAGCAGGAGCTTGCTTATCTTTGGAACCCCCTGGGCGTCACATATGTGACGAACTAGCTTCTGTAACGCGCGACTTTCGGCGCGAAGTGCTAAGCGGGGTCCCACGTCGATTGGACGGGTTGATGGAAAATTGCATGTGTGTCCTTGCCTTTTTGTTGTTTCTTTGTTCTCGCATGAGCCCCTGATGACAGTTGGGGACAATTCAGGAATACCAGGGGAAAAGGGGACAAAACTTGGTCGGATGCGGAGTGCGCGATTAATAAACATTGACGTCTCTTCTTTTCTTTCGTTTCCCTTCTTTTCTTTCGTTTTGTCGGACTCTTGGGCGCACAGACATCGCGCGGGAATTTCGGTGTCTCTTTTTGAATTTCTTTCTTGAATTTTCTTTTCGAATCTTGGTCGGAGCCATACAGTCTTCGGAATTTTGATTTTCTTTTCGGACCTTTTCGGCAGGCTAGCTAGGAATTTAGGAATTTTGGAATTTCTGTTTTTCTGGGGCGCTGCTCTGCATGTTCGTGCACTCTTTCTTGCTGCTGCGCCGGAACCTTGATTGATTGGCGCCTCAATCCCTTTTTTGCAACTGTAATTTTTGGCGCATACTTTTGTAAATGTATTTTTTTGTTTCTTGCTTCTTCTTTTTTCCGCCTCGTTTCTTCCTCCCCCCCCCCCCTGCCTACATTGGGTAGCCACGTTTGCATGTTCGGATCGATGCGTGGAGTGGGTACGTCCCCCACGCCGCGGCCCGACCATGCAAACGAAGGCACTCCCTCTCCCCCATCTATCTACGTC